GGTCGGCAGGGTCAGGGTCTGCCTCAAACCCTTCAAAATCCTTCTGGATTGTGTTCTTCGCTTTCTTTACCAAAGGGCTTGCACTAGCTTTCCTTGGGCCCATGGTAACTTATTTAGCAGTTGCAATCACAAAAAAAATGGATTATTACGTATGAACCCGCGGGGTGATGGTCACGTGTTGGTAAACAATGGCACACTGAGCGTGAATGACGTGGGAGACTGGCTTTGTGTGCGTGGTGACGGGCAGATGGGTACCGGACGGTCGCCGAATCACGGGTCTAATCACGAAACTCGAGGCCAATTTTTGCCGAAAAAACTTGCCGAAAGTCTGATTTCACGAAAGTCGATGCTGCCGAAACTCGAGGGTCCACTGTACATGTTTATGGAGGGGCAACTGATATATTGGATTATTATTTAGTTGTAGCTACAGTTAGAGTAAGGGGTAGAGGGGACAAAGGAAAAAATGGCAACACAAGTAAGAAAGAGGTGAAAGTGTATAAACTAAGGGAGGAGGAAGTTTGGGGGAGATATGCAGTCATGTTACTGGAATTTCATGAGACAAAATTAATTTTTGTATTATATGCAGTCATTAAATACCTGGTATATAGGCTTTAAGTGATATTTGTGACAAAAAATTGTATACTTAATTAACCCTTTGACTCTTTGGGTAATTTTTAAAACGTCTTACAAGAAATGTCTTTGATATTTGTATATAAAATTCCGGGTTTTCAAAATCAAAGGGGAAAAAAAGCTGGTGGCCCCCAGAGAAAATGGGGTCTTTTCATTGTCAGATAAAAAAAAAAATTGCAAACATGCATAATGAGGAAAAAAAAAAAAATCTGCCCGGTTTTTTAAAAACCCCTCGGGGTCCAAGCCAAAAAAAAAGTGGGCCCCGGCCAAACTTTTTTAAAAAAAAAAAATTATTTTTTTTAAGTTTTCTATTTTTTTTTTTTTTTTTTTTTTTTTTTCCTCCCTTTTTGTTTTTCCCCCCTTCCCTCCCCTTTTTTTTTGGGGTTTTTTTTTTTTTTTTTTTTTTTTCCAATTTTTTCTATCCACTAACTTTTGGGGCCCCTGAGAGACCAATACTGTATATAATGAAAATAAACTTACGTATTGAACAAAATAACCGCACTAAATTTATTTCATATTATTGTTTACACTTTGTTTTTTACAAAAAACATGCAAAAAACTTGTATAATACTAATTTTTCAACAATTTTTACATTTTACAATCACGGGGACATGGTTTTAGAACGCTGGAGTTTGGGAACCCCTTTAAAAAAAGGGCCCATGCACAAGCACCTTACATTCCTCACCATAAACCAGTTCTTTGCGTCTTTGTTGCCGGTCGTTTTGTTTTGCACAGACGAGCATCTCTTCGGGCAAAATTTTTCTTCTGGTTGAAGGAAGTTGTTTATAAAATGATCCCCTTTTTCCCCTCCTCAAATTTGGGGGTAATCCTGATTAATTCGAGGACCTTTTGTATAGCAGGTGTTCTTACCGGGTACTTCAAAAGGTTTCTGACAACAGAAAAACAAAATTCACCAAGGGTGGTCTTTCCCAGCTTTTTTTGGGACATTTAATGCATTGACTTGAAATGTCCATGAGATGGAAAAAAAGTTTCATGTCCCACTTGTAACCTTACAACACAGTCAAAAAAAACCAATCTGCATGCACTTTGTAAACCCAAAGCGCATTTTTGTGTATAATCAATCACTTCATGTTTCGAATACGTTCATTAGCCCATTTCCCGATAAATTTTGCCACGTCCTTTTTTTAAACGGGAATGGTTGTCAAAAATGGACATCTCTTTGCCCCACCGTAATGCCATGATTCATTAGCTAAACACCTGCACTCACACCACGACACCTGCGTTGAGCCTGGGCATATTTTTTTACGATTAGAACGCACTGTCCAACACACTGTCTTTTCACTCCATGAAATCACTGAGTAATGGGCTTTGTACCAGTTTTTCGGATATATAATGTATGCCCCTTCCCAAAGATAAGGTGCCACATTTTTCCACACATCACCTGAGATACCCAATAACATTTTGGGTACTTTCAATGTTTTACTACCCTGTATACAACAATATCCAACACCAGGCCACTGTCACAACACAAGTACAAACGTTTTATACCAAAAGCGTTTCCTTTTGCTCGGTAAAATACGGGGTTGAATGACGTCTACCTTAAACAAATCAAAGACTCTAAATTACAAATTCTTGAATGGATAAAAGATGTGCTGACTTTTTTTTTTGAGATACTAAAACTTTTTCTAATTTTGCAGACCTGTCATTTTCTGTCAGGCCGGGTTTTGTCAGAGAAGTGCAACATACTAAGAGTAAGATAAACCGTTCACTGGGTGATATCACTGAAGACCGGGGTAGAATTGCCGATTTGTGACCAGTATGTTTTTTAATTTGCTATGACAGAGGCAAAAGCTTTTTGTTGCAAAAAGCAAATACATTTCTGAAACAGTCTCTCTTTCCACCTGTGTAGTCTTGCTGTGGGATAGATTTTTTTTTCCATGGTTACTCAAAATACTTTTTATTTTTCCCTGAAATATTTTTCCATCAATGGCTGGTCAAAGAAAAATTCAAAAAATTTCCCATTTCATTGGCCGGGTTTCCAAGGGACAAGGGGTAAAATTTCCACTTTGAGAGTCTCAAAAATGGTGAGGGTTGGGGAAAAAAATTGGATTTTTCTGCCAACCCAAATACATTTGCTGTGGATACGGACATCAAAAAGGGTGGTTGTGCGGTGGTTGTTTTGGGGGTGGTGGCTGCGCTCCGCTTTGTCCCTTGAACTGAAAAGATCAGCAGCGTGGGCCCACCCGGGGGGTGAGTCCCAAGGCGGTGCCACTACCCCACCACCAACACCATCCCCGATGCCTGTCATCCCTGCCAAGTGTAGCCACACTTCCTCACATCACACCTAAAACTGGGTAGGGGCCCGGGGGTACTCCATCCCCTGGGGACAGCATAGGGACACTACCCAACCTGCAGCGGCAACATACCACGTTCACTGGGGAATATGATTCCTCTCTATCACAACCGAAGATCGTCGGCGCAATAAAATCCAATCCCGTCACTATCATCATCATTCTAATCAGAGGCTGGCCACTCAAATATTATTTTTTTCTTGCGTTGAGGAACAACCCACCGTGATCACGAGTGCCCCACCAGAGGTGAAAGGGTTTAGGATCGTAGGGGTTTTCTGCACTATTATCAATATCCTGGGCATTTTTTTCGGTCCTAACTTATCAAAGCTGTAGAATTCGCTTCATTTTCCCCTTCCACAGTGTCCCCGAACTATCAATAGGAAGAGGAAGTCCCAATTTTTTCCGGGGGGTGAGAGCGACTTGCGACGAGGCATGTGAACAAGGGTAAATGAGCCGGCTTTTCCCCCAACTAGCGGGCGCCTAATTTTTTTGTTTTGGCGCACATCCACCACGCAGACCCGTTTTCTCCAATTTTGGCCTTTACCTTTCACGCTAAAATTTTACGGGGCAGAATTTTGGGATAGATCTCTGTTTGGACACTCAACGGGGAAACCATAGATCTAGGGGCGGACCCAAAGGGTTAAAACGCCAAATTTGAGGTGTATTTTCATATAGTTTTTTTATGGTTATATTCTTGTTTTCATAGCACATTTGATAAATGGAAAAATATTATAAAATGGGGGTGATTTTTTGGGTTTTTAAAAAGGGCTTTGAAATGGAGCTCAAAGAAGGAAAAGTTTGATTTTTGCCCATTTCAAGATAAACAAATGACGTCATTGTCCAATAAAAAGTCCCAAATGCCATTTTAATATGCAGGTATAATGGGTTGACAAAATTTTACAATTATTACAAAATTTCGGTTACATAACGTAAAATCACTATTTTTGTTTTGAAAAAAAATTCAAAAAAGAAGGCAAAAGTAATTCAAGGGGCCTGGGGGACATGACTGATGAACAAAGAAAATTTATTTGATCCGGAATGTCTGCATTGTTCATTTTGGACCCTATTTTGAAATTGGCATATTTTTTTTAAATTTTCGTAAATTGGGCCATATTGCAGTTTCTGCCACTTTATTTGGGGATTGAAATTATAAATGGGGAGTTTCTTTATTCATCGATAGAAGAAATGGAGCAAAAAAAAGCTTGGTTTGTTCCTGGAACAATGAATTAGCTGAAAAAAGGGCTCAAAGTGGGCGAAATCGCCGATTTGTAAATATCGCAGAGGTTGTTAACTTCGCGAGAGCGTAATTCTGTAAGTTTTCCATCAAATTTCATGCTTTTGGTGTCATTACCATTGGGAAAAGATTCTCCATCATTTCATAAGATTTTTTTTTTTTTCTCCAAAATATTTTGCAACACCAGGAGACACCTCAGGATTTGGGATTGCGACAGTCAAAGGGTTAATGTCACATTAGTATTTCCAAAATGATTCTTTCTTAGTAATTCTCTTACAGATTTGAAGGAGTTATTGAAAAGCCCTGGGGTGTTGACCTTGTGGCTTTTCTATTAACTCTTTTTAAATAGCATCCTTTGGGTATCATGTATGCCTGCCTGTTGAATTTTTTTTTGCCTTACAGTATACTAAACTAGCTGATCTTTGTGAAGAATTTTTCTGTATGCAGATATGTACTTGTAGTTCCACCATATTTTGTTTTAATATACAGTGGTACCTTGAGTTACGAAGTTAATTTGTTTCAGAAGGCTGTTCGAGTTCTGATATCGAACGAATTTGTTCCTATTAGGAATAATGTAAATTAAATTAGTCTGTTTCAGACCCCCAAAAATACACTTACAAAAGCACTTAGAAAAATACACTTACATAATTGTTCAAGTTGGGAGCTGCTTGAAACTCAAGGTACCACTATAATTGGCTTTTTACTAGCTTTCATAAAATCATACTCCCTTATGGGGTTTGTGCTTAATTTGATTATAAATTATATAAAATTAGCTGCTAGTGATATGTTAATAAATAATTTTTGTAATTATTTTCTTCAATTAGAACTTCTGCACACGTTCAGGGCTTGAAGCTCTGGGGTCATGCCTCAACAACAAATATTCAGAGGGCTATCCTGGCCAGAGATACTACGGTGGTACAGATGTCATTGATAAGGTGAAAGTCATTTTGTTTTTCTTTATAAACCTTTTGCACTCAGTCACCTGCTGTTAAGCTTCCCAGGTTTTAAAGTAAAGATTTTTAGAGAATAAACTGTATCATGTTTGGTTTAGTCATAAACTGAGAACTGCATTGGGTTTACTGATGCTTAACTTGTTTCTGGGAGGTAATAATATTGTAGTTGGTTGTGTACCTTAAATAATCATAGAAAATTTTAGACTTTGTAAAGTGTTTAACCTTGCTTAGCTATGTATTTGGTTCACTGCTTTAATTTTGCTTACATGTTTAAAACTTAGCATTGAATTATCTAGTTCAGGTCGCCCATCACTAATCCGGCATCATTGGGATCTGAAGTGTGCCAGATTAGTGAATTTGCTGGACTACAGAGTGGTTAGGTTAGAATACACTTAACCCTTTGACTGTTTTGGTCGTATATATACGTCTTATGAGCCACCGTTATTGACGTATATGTACTCATAAATTCTAGTGGCTTCAAATCAAGCAGGAGAAAGCTGGTAGGCCCACATGTGAGAGAATGGGTCTGTGTGGTCAGTGTGCACCATGTAAAAAAAATCCTGCAGCACACAGTGCATAATGAGAAAAAAAAAAACAAAAAACTCAGACCGTTTTTTGAATTAAAATGCCAACGTTGTGGTCTATTTTTGTATAGTATTTATGGTTGTATTCTCGTTTTCTTGGTCTCATCTGATAGAATGGAAAACATATTATAGAAATAGAGGTGATTTTGATTGGTTTTACTATGAAAAGAACCTTGAAATTGAGCTCAAAGTAGGGGAAATGTTTGATTTTTGCCGATGTTCAAAAGTAAACAAATGATGTCATTGTCCAATAAATGTCCAAGTAGCCATTCTAATATGCAGTCATGAATGGGTTGACATTATTTATACAATTATTACAATATTACAGTAGTCTGCATAACAGTAAATCTTCTATTTTTTGTTTGAATAAAAATTCAAATTAGAAAGCAAGAGTAATATTAGAGGGGCCTGGAGACGTGACTGATGAACAAAGAAAATGTTATTTTAGAGCCAGGAATGTCTGCATTGTTCATACTGGACCCTATTTGTGAAATTGGCCATATTGCAAATTTCTGACCACGTTATTGGGTAGTTGAAATCGGTAAATGGGCAGTTTCTTGTACTCAATCGATAGAAAAAATGGAGTTCTAAAGAAATGGCTATTAGTCTGGTTGACTAGAACAATGGAATTAGATGAAAACAGGGCTCAAAGTGGGCGAAATCGCTGATTCGTAAATATTGCTGAGGTTGCTAACTTTGCAAGAGCGTAATTCCGTCAGTTTCCATCAGATTTCTTTCTTTTGGTGTCATTACAATCGGGAAAAGATTCTCTATCATTTCATAAGATTTTTTTTTTTTTTTTCTCGCGACACCAGGAGACACCTCAGAATTTGGGGTTGTGGCAGTCAAGGGGTTAATTAACTTATCAATAGAGAGACTTTCTGCTACATCTTCCTCATTTTCATCACTGCTTTCTCCTCCACTGACTTGCTACTGTGGATTTACAGTCTTCTGCACAATTTCTGAGTCAGTATGATGATGAAATTTGAAATTGTGCTAGCCGAAATTAGTGCCGGATTACTGATGGAACCTGATAACTGAATGCCGGATTAATGATTGCTGACCTGTAGTACAGTGGACCCTTGACCAACGATATTAACCCTTTGACTGTCGAAGGGCCCAATCCTGAAGTGTCTCCTGGTGTCGCAGAATATTCTAAAAAAAAAAAATTATTTTTTCTTATTTTTCTGATTGTTTTAGTCCCCAAAAAAAATTTTCCCCATCAGTACTTACCAAGATATAGAGGCATGAAGTTTGCAGAAAATGAGCCGCGTATGGCAACAGCGGCGACTGCCGCTCACCCGTAAACTTTAGTTTACTTGTATTTGATGGTTTGTTGTTTTTTCACTATTTTATTTTTTCACATAACTTATGTGGCCTGTGAGACCAAAGTAAGGTGCAATGTACATATATACACTCGTTGTATACAACACAATAAGCACACAAACATAATTATCAATATATTGTTTACAAAACTTGTTTACAAAAACAAACAATACAAAAAAATTTTTATTACTATTGCTCTATAATATATATACCAATATACAGTCACTGAACATATTCCTAGAAGTTCTGCAGCTTGTGGAACTCTTTGAAACATGGTGTCATACACAGTGGTGTTTTACACTCCTCACACATAAAACATGGTGTCATACACAATGGTGTTTTACACTCCTCACACATAAAACATGGTGTCATACACAGTGGTGTTTTACACTCTCGCACATAAAACATGGTGTCATACACAGTGGTGTTTTACACTCACACATAAAACATGGTGTCATACACAGTGGTGTTTTACACTCTTACACATAAAACATGGTGTCATACACAGTGGTGTTTTACACTCTCGCACATAAAACATGGTGTCATACACAGTGGTGTTTTACACTCACACATAAAACATGGTGTCATACACAGTGGTGTTTTACACTCCTCACACATAAAACATGGTGTCATACACAATGGTGTTTTACACTCTCACACATAAAATCAGTGTGTGTGCATTTTTGTGGAAGTTTTTTTTTTATGTGCAAAGACAAAACACCTCGTCTGAGCAGTTTTCTTCAAAGTATTAGCAGGCAGTTGTGTTATGTAGTTATCCTAGGTAAATGGTCGTGTGTCATCATTCCTTCCTTCCTAATTTCCTTCATTCCTTTCCTACCTGGAGGCTACCTGGAGGGCATTCCACCTCTCTTCCTACATTCCTTCTTTTGTCCTTCCTTACTTTTTTCCTTCCTTTCATCTAGTCCTTCCTTCATTCCTGCCTTCCCTTCTTGCTTCTGGTTTCTATAATATGTATACACATATATAGTCACTAGATACTTTCATAAAACTGCTATTATCACCATTCAGCAAGCTTGTCTTGGGTGCGGGTGTGTGGCTTTTAATTGTTTTGAGTCAGGAGTCGGCAGCTGTCAAAATGACATATTGTCTCATTACTCACTCCCCCTCCCGCCTGTCAAAACAATGGGGTCGGATGCTGCTTCCCCTCCATTCTATCTAATTATCTTTCTCCCTCATTCTATCTCTTTCAGTCTGTCTCTCTCTTTCTCTCTGTCTATCTCTGTCTCACAGGTACACATAAATACAAGTATACATAGTGTAAATTACCTAGGATAACCCAAAAAATCCACACAAAGTGCTATACTCTGCTTGAAGATGTGAGTAAACGTGATGACGAGTCTTGTGGCTCTCTCTGAGACAGAGTTAGACAGATAGACAGGGAGCTTGGCAGACAGACAAATAGACAGACAGACAAATGTTTGTTTGTCGTCGTCTTCTCCTCCTCCTCCTCCTCCTCCTCTTCCTCCTCCTTCTCCTCCTTCTCCTTCTCCTCCTCCTCCTCCTCCTCCTTTCTCCTTCTCCTCCTCCTTCTCCCTCTTCTCCTTCTCCTCCTCCTCCTCCTCCTCCTCCTCCCTCTTCTCTCCTCCTCCCCTCTTCTCCTTCTCCTCTTCCTTCTCCTTCTCCTCTTCCTTCTCCTTCTCCTCCTCCTTCTCCTCCTCCTCCTTCTCCTCCTCCTCCTTCTCCTCCTCCTCCTCCTCTCCTTCTCCTCCTTCTCCTCCTCCTCCTTCTCCTCCTCCTTCTCCTCCTCCTCCTCCTCCTTCTCCTCCTCCTTCTTCTCCTCCTCCTCCTCCTCCTCTTCCTCCTCCTCCTGGCTCTTGACATATGGACAGCTGCCCCCCTCCCTCCACCTTCGTTTACGCTCATCAAAGGTCAGCTCTTATCAGATGTTATCTCCCCTTATCTTGTCACTGTCATGGGGTGAACTGTTTTCATGCCTCAAGGGAACATATTATTATGTATTATTATTATTAAGTATTATTATTATTATTCCTCTTCTTCCTATTCTTCCTCTTCTTCTTCCTCCTTCCTCCTCCTTCCTCCTCCTCCCTCCTTCCTCCTCCTCCCTCCCTCCTCCTCCCTCCTTCCACCTCCTCCCTCCTTCCTCCTCCCTCCTTCCTCCTCCTCCTTCCTCCTTCCTCTTCCTCCTTCCTCTTCCTCCTTCCTTCTTCCTCCTCTTCTTCCTCCTCCTCCTCTTCCTCCTCCTCCTCTTCTTCCTCCTCCTCCTCTTCCTCCTCCTCCTCCTCTTCCTCCTCCTCCTCCTCCTCCTCCTCCTCCATTGCTTTTGGTCTCAAACTCCTCGAAATCATGAAATTGATCTTCAATGGCACTTCCATCTGTGTTAGAGCATCACTTGGGAAGAGAAGAGTCCCAGATTTGCTGGGGAGTCACACATTTCTTACCGCTAGACATGCTGAAAAAGGACGACTGAAATGGTATTCCCACAATGCACCACTGGCTCCCCGATTTTTTTTTATATGGTGCACACTGACCATGGAGACCCATTCTCTCACATGTGGGCCTACCAGCTTTCTCCTGCTTGATTTGAAGCCGCTAGAATTTATGCGTATAGATACGTCAAACACGGTATCTCCTATGACATATATATACGACCGCGACAGTCAAAGGGTTAATCCATTCCAGAGAGCTTGTCATTAGCCGAATTTATCGTTAGCTGAATTAATTTTCCCCATAAGAAATAATGGAAGTCCAATTAATCGGTTCCAGACAGCCAAAAGTATTAAAAAAATTTTTTTTTTTCATGAAATATACATTTCCCTACAAAGAAAACAATGAGACATGCACAATAACTACATAAATAAATGCTAAAATGACACTTACCTTTATTGAAGAGTATTGATAAGTGATGAGACACTTTTTTCTTGAGCATTCTAGAATTTTCAGTGATACGTGAGTAAAGGCTTCACTTTGCAATCCCCACTAGCATTACAACAAAATATGAGAGTTAGCCTGTCTTTTATAGGCTTGTGTCCTGGGAGTACCTAGTTTCCTCCTGAGTAATGTATGTTCTGTTTGGCATTTTCTTCCAGAACAGGCTTGTTTCATCACAATTGAACACTTGTTGGGGTTGGAATTTTTCAGCTTCGCCATGCCTTGTCACACTGT